TATATATAAAGCTATCAAATTGTCTTAATAAGAAATCAGATTAATTAATTGCTCAAAAATAAAATAAAATTGTTTGTTTTATGTGAGTGTTTGCAGATAATTTATTTAGTGGTGACAACAGGTGCATGAATTGCATGTCCTAACAAACGTTTCCTAAGAATTCTTCATGTAGCTTCCTTTCTTATCCCTCCGCATGAAAAGTAACACATTCAAATTTGGCAAAATAGCAAATGAAGGTCTAGAGGCAATCTCAGCTGAGCACGGTAAAGAAAATAATCAAATCTCCTTCAAATGTTACATGGTATTATCCTATCAATTCTCCCAAGGTCACATGTACAGTACTAGATGTTCTATTTCACACTTTAAATCAAAACAATATTTTTATTTACCATACCCTAACCAACCATATCATTCAACCCTGAAATCTTTGTTACTGTCGTTCTTTAAATATTATTTTAGTAGATACAAAAGCTGTCACTACAACCTGTAATTACCTTCACAGGAAAGGGCATGTTCAAATCCAGCACGTTTTGTCACCTGCTTTGTTGTGTACACCACAACAGAAATGCTTTGTGTTGTCGGTTTTTCAAAAAAGCCAGTTTTTTAAAAACATGTTGAAGCTCCTGATCTGAACAATATCAGCCATGAATCTGATATACTGTATGCCTTGCATTTAAAAAAAAAAACAGCAAACATGCCAGCACATATTGCTTCGCAGCTTTGTCGCCAGAACAAACAAAAATCTCATGCATCACTGATAACTGTCAATTCTTACCTCAGAAACAATACTAATTCCAACAGCAGTCTGACAAAAGCTTATATGAAAAGCAGGAACACCAAAAGAAGGGAATTTCTTTTCATGTATTATTTGTGATATCATATTTAGAAGAGCAAGGATATCCTAGCCATTTTCCTTCTCTCAGCCCCTTTTGTGTGTGAAAGGCTGTTGCTTGTGTACAGTCCACATTCCCAGCCCTTCCTGCTTTAATGTGTACCACATGACAGCTGAGAGCAGGAGCCAATGGCTGGGTGGACTGCAGTCGTACGTAGCTGATAACAGAGCAGCTCTGTTACAGAGCTGGGTGACTGCTGTATTTCTGGAGGACCAATCTGAGTAGCAGTCATGTCACGCACACAAGCTAGAGGAATAATACAGCAAATCTTACAGGTTAAAGATAAGGGAAAAATATGAAGGAGATGTTTTACTTGCATTTCTAATGTGTTATTGTCTTTCAGTTATTTATATGTATATTTCAGTATATGACACTAAGGTATCTAGTAAATAAACTAGACAGATTATTATTAACCTCAATTTAGAATGGCAGGATATATTTGCCAAGATTGAAACATTTATTACAATCAAAGAACCTTCTGATTTTACTTTTAAATTGGTTAACTCTTTGTATTGCCACATAAAAAACAACTGATCACTCTATCACTGTCTCTAAACAACTGTCAGTCTGTCACTTGCCTAAGACCGTTTGTTTCACTTGGTAATTAAAAGAACTGCACTCTTCAAATGCAGGTCTAAAAACAAAAGAGAAAGTTATAAATCCTGATCAGACAACAACATTATCGTGGTACTGTAAATTAAAAATAATAACATTTTACTTTTTTTAAACAGACACACGTTAGACTGTCTGAAACTAAATAAGGACTAAAACTGACAACTACGTTTTTCTAATACTGCATAAGCAAAAGACCAGTGAAGGATGAACTATTATCTAATGCCTATTAATTGAGCACAGTAAATGTCAAATACACTGAATTCCGCTATTTGTGCTGCTGTTCATTATGAATTAACTCAATAAAAATGAAACCCACTCTAGACAACATTTTACAGGAAACAGAGGTGCGTCAGATACACAAATCAACTGGCCTGTGATATAAACTGAAAAATGCCAAGTGTAAATGAAAGGGTTCTAAAATTATACAACACACTAGTAAAACCTAATCTACAGAAGATATTGCAAAAAGATATTTGCGCTGTAAGCAGTTCAATGACATGGAAGGTTTATTGTTTTAAAAGGTGTGATACTTCAGACAGGTTTGATAGTTTTGCATTAAAAATCATCAAAACACTAATGAAGTGAGCCCATGGATAAATAACTTCAAGGTGATCAATTACTTGAGGCCTGAGGTCACAAGTAGAAACTAAGACCAGTGCATTCAGAACTGAAAATAGGGGATTTGTTTTTACAACAGCCATGTCGCTACACAGCGCAGTGGTATCCTTCATGAAATGGCTGTATTCTGTCATTTATTGTATTATGATGCCTGAAACGAGTCTTGTTTATAAGCTTTCTTATATCCGTTCTCTTTCTTTGAAGTAACCAGCTCTTGTGCTTCAGGAGATCTGGCTTGAATCAGAACTATACAGCGAGTCGGCGTCTGTCGGGCTCAGGCTGGGCTCCACTTACTGGAAGAGCTCGTGTTCGTACAGGGTGGAAGACTGCAGCAGGCCGAGGATGTGGGAAGACTCGGAGGAGAAGCTCAGGTCCCCATCACGGCTGGCTTTGGAAGCGGTGAGCTGGTAGAGACTGGAGCAGCTCAGGGCCAACTCTAGAGCATCCATCCAGCAGCGACCTGCACGGCACGCAGACGCCGCAGCGGGGGGGATACAGTCAGCGCTTGCGTCACACTGCTCCCCTCGTAAGCAAGCACAGACACGGTAATCCAACACACAGTCGCACACTCATACAGAACCAGAATTTCCACACTGCTTGTTATAAGCTACTGTACACCTCGACTCCGCCACACACACTGGCAGTAATAAAGCCCCCACTGCTTCCAAAGGAGCTTTTGATGAAGCGCAGAGATAAGGATTAAAATAAAACCGAGACTGGCTCACCGTCAGACTCTGACACAGCTCTGAAGATCAGGTAGCTGCTGGGGAGGGGCTGGGTGATGGAACCCACATTCTCTCCTCTGGGACCCTGCAATGGCAGACATAGAAGTCATTGCACAGTATTACTGCCAGAAAAAAACTACTCCTTGTAACCTTACACGGTAATTTTAAGACATTGTTAGACTAATAAAAATCTAGCACTTATTTTGATACTGTCCAATGCTCTATATTTCAAACATCAACGATGTACTGACCAGCAGGAGGCCCCAGGGATAAACAAACAGACACACAGAAACAGACAGAAGCACGTATACTTTTGTTATGCAAAATAACATTGTTTTGTGGAAAACATTACAGTTTACAGAAGACAAGAGCATGAAAGAGGCCACAAGTGTACAAAGACTTGACACTGCTGTAGGTTCCTCAAGCGCCCAGTCCTTTCACCTCCAGCCTCACCTTCATGGCCCAGATGGACTTGTCCAGGGGGTGGTAGAGTTTGAAGCAGAAGCCGTCCTTCTTGGAGGGCCTCTCGATGAGCTTGCAGGCATTGAGGAGAATTGTCCCCACCCAGTGATCCACCTTCGGGGTCTTGTAGATGAGGAGAACTCCGGGCTTCAGCACACACCACAGCCTGGTCCAGCTCTTCAGTGTGCCACGGATCTGCGGGACAAGCAGAAGAGCTCATTTCATTCTCTGCTCTGCGGTGAAATCTTCTCTGAATGAGTGTGGCATTCTCTCCAGACCAAGTCTGGTTGGCCTACTTTGTACTGCTTCCAGAGCAACAGTTCCCAACCTTCCTGATGGTGCTGATGGTGCTTTCTTTACCAAACATTTAATGGATCACCATGTGCTACTAGTTGCGTTTTGTTAAATATGGATTTTAATGCAATAACAATAAAACCATCCACCCACGGTAAACATTCATAACGTGCACACTTTAAATCGTGAAGTTCTTATTCATGACCTAATAACTAATATCTGGAAATCACAGCAGTGCAAGTGGGAACATGTGTACTGTATATTGAGTAACATGAGGAAATAGTCTTTGAATTGAAACATCTCCTATTCGATATTGGAAATATACATTCTCGCATCTGTATGCAACAGCCTACATTTTGTACATTAAAATGAAGTCCAGTTGTCTCTCAATGTCTGAATTTTGGTTGTTGGCACTACTGATATGGTATTTGCAACTCAATCTATCTTTTATCCTTTATCTTTACAAATCTGACAAGACCTTAGTCTTTTGATATAGACTAAGAAGAACAGTGGTCCCCTCCTCTAGCAACCTCACTTCGGGCTGAGGTAAAGTCCTCGTCACCTACACATGACCAAAATCTTTATCCAATTGGGATTCCGACAGGTTTTACTTGAGAGAATGAGTCAAAGTTTTTCATAAACATTACATTCTGTGAGTCCTAAGGGTATTGAACACTTTACTGCTTTATAATAATACAGCCTCGTTGATATAAGAATATCAGGGTCAGCGGTGAAAGGCAGTGATGAAAGGAGGAGAGTTACAGTATGTTCATTACACAGTGTGGTCAGTAGGAGTAAATCCTTAAGCCTCCACTCTCCTACCTTAAGCCAGCTGGCCATGATGACAACACTGGGGTCCTTCAGAGCGCTGAACAGTTCCTTCGCCGCCCTCTTCTTCTCTTGTCTGTAGTTTTTCTTCTGGACCTGCAGGTCCAACACAGGACAAGTGCTGAAACAGCTGACAGCAGTCTCCTGACCTGCAGGATCTACACCGAGTCCTAGTTCTCCACAATGACTTAAACTGCATCTGAGCTCCTAATCACCACACTAAATCAGTTATTGATTTGAAATGCCCTCATTATCACTGCTCTCAGTTAATTAGCCTGTCAGGATTTTCTGTTTCATATAAACCCCACGGTCATCACAGCCATCCAGGAGCAGGAGGTAATCCCACTGATGAAATACTGGATCTTCCAGTACAAAATCATCAATCATCTCTACCTTTAACACTCAGTTGTGGGTTTGCCTAATGATATTCAAGTCGATTGCCCACTGTAACACCATCCCAAGAACCATATTGGTAAAACACCTCCCACAACAGATTGACAGAAAAAGAAAAAAACAAATCTTCTAATGTCTCAAAAGAATCATATGGCGATCTGTGAAGTAAACTCTCAGACCGGACGGAAGTCGTGTGACATGTCTCACCTCATGGGGGCATTACTGAGAATACAATGGAGGGCTTGCTTTCTGTCCATGATTTTGTTTAATCGTTAACTGTCATTAAGTTATAAACAACAAAATAAAAAACAACATAATTGCCATGTAAACAATAAGCAATACCCTATACATACTGTATAGCACTTTTTTTACATGTGATTTCCCATTTTGAAAGGAACTACAGTATAATGTCCTGCAGTTAATACTGATGACATTTCAAGGACCTCATTCACAAACGATTCTTATGTGCTAAGGTTCACATTATCCATAGGCTTGTCACAGGGAAACCTTTTGAGAATGCGTATCTATGTCTATGATACCATGGTACTGGCACTAGGTGGAGCCATAGTCAAAACTACCACACATTTCTAATGACACAGCACAAATCAATCCAGATTAGTTTAACCTACAATGAAAGGGTTGTTTTCACAGGGTTAAAAATCCACAGCTGCACAGTAAAATGCCAGTCCAAATGAAGTTGATGTATTACATTAACATTTTGATAGACTGTTCACCCTATTCCATATTACTACCTATCAGGCTGATGTTCCTGCTGGTGCTTAACAATCAGATTTCAATTCTTACAGCAGGATGGTGGAGATTCACCTTGAAAATGCTGGTCTTTAAATGGGAAATCAGTGACTGCATAAACTAGCTTCTCTTTACACAAACACTTGGTTGTTGCGATTTCCTCTTCTGGCTCTCCATAGAATCTGCAATCGCCATCTCCTTTTCATTAGCGTCTGTGGCTAAATGAGGATTCTCGGCTGGGTCTGATAGCCTTTCCACTCTGTCCCGTCTCTGTGCCTGGCCTGCCCCCCCCCGTGCCCTCAGGAGTGCCTACCTTCAGAGACTCTTTCTTGGCCAGCCTCTCTGTGGGGGAGGTGCATTCCTTGTCATGGCCATTGAAGACCTTCGACTCAGCCTGAGAGGCAGTGAGAGAGGCAGAAAAGAGAGCAGAGCGGATGACTGCGAGGTACGGAAATGTCTGTAAACGTCGCATTATTAATTGTACTTGCTTTGGCAACACTGGAATTCATTAGTCATACCAATAAAGCCCTCTGAATTTGAATTTTCTGGTCTGCACCTTTTAGCCTGCTTTAAATCTTTAATTAAAGGGACTTAATAACTAAGTATAAAACCTGTGAAGCCTTTGTTACGGGAATTGATGCCAAGGGCTGTGAACAGTACTGGTCTTTTGGCACTCTACAGCACGCCATATTTATCTAGGTCATATCAGTTTTAACGTGGAAATTCCCCTAATGGTTTAAGAGCTCTGGTCATTTAGGAACTGAGCTGCTTAACTCTGCTTCACATTGCCTTGTGATGTGTTGGTTTGCATTGTTTTGGGGAAATACTAGAGAAAGCCAGTGCTTGTGCTCTGTGAGGGAGTGGAGAAGAGCTCAGAATCCTGCAGGAAACACAAAGATCGGTGCAGATGTGCTGGGAAGGTCAGCATCCAGACTTACAGTTTGACATAAGATTCTCCTCATTGACATGCAAGACGGCTACACGCAGCTACTGTGGCTGCTGAGCACACCAGCCGAGTGCTCCAGCCATAAACCTGCAGATCCCTCACACTGGGAAGAGCGCCGCATGGAAATGTGCTGCTGTGTGCTTGAGGAAGAAGAACAGCAATGCGTACTTTAAACACTACTTAAGGTAAAAACTGAGTAATTTTGTGTCAACCTGCTCAAATCAAACACCCAACAGTGCCTCAAAATGACCCTGCCCCTCGGTAATGCTATTCAACTATAGCCTAGCTTTCCAGTGGTTATTAGAACTGGTGTTCTTCCACAGTTAAGTATGCAGGGTTGGGCAGCCTAATTCATTTTTCTCATAAGCAGGGAAAGGGATGTGGAAGGGGATATGACGCTTTAATTAATCAAGAGTCAATGCAGCAAAATTGATCGATGGTGGGATATGCCCAGGGCATCAGGGTCAACCGCAGAGCAAACAAGAATGGATATAAACAGAGCAAATGACTTCCTCCTTCCGGAATTCACAATTAAAACACTTGACTCCAGTCAGACTGGTCATAGTACTGTAATGTTTGCAAAGTCGTGTGTGTCTTCAGATTTATAGATTGATTGTTCACCAGCCCATTGGGTTGCTATTGCTAACAAAGTTCTGTCCAAGACTTTTCTTTCTCTATCATGATCAAGCCTCCATTTTAGGGGAAAAGGAGCCTGAAATTTATGCTCAGAAACACAAACCAGGCAAGATCTTCCATTTGCATTTCACCTTCATGCCCGCTTTGCTTTATTTCTGTCTTGCACTCTGGAAACATGCATGATTCAATTCGAGAGTTTGATGCAGACCACAGCAATCTTTTCAGATCAAGATACTCTGGTGCAGCCTTTTCTTATTTTCTCCTGAGTATATTACGTCCTACCTTGGAGGAACAAAGAGAAAACTAGATTTCCTCTAAATGAACTGTCTTACTATGACCGAGCAAAGGGCTTCATATTGATTCGCAGGGCTTATCTTTCTGCTGATCAAATGTTAGCTGATAATTTGGCATTGATTAGCCATGTGCACCATGTATCAGGAGAGGATCAAGCGCACTGACCCCTGTGAACACTCTCCCTTCCTTTGCCCCGATGAGATTACTCTCTGGATTCGAATTCAATTTCCTTTTCTCTAGTGACAGCTGTCAGAGCCAGCCTTCACAGTCTGAAAGGATTGATCATTTCACACAGACACCTCACACTTCCAACAAGCCTACAGCAGCTCCCCTCCATCAGAGATGTCTACCCCAGGCTGGTTTATTAGTACACAAGCCACCTTCAGCACCCGGAAGTTCACCAATTAATTTTAAAGTCAACCTTTACCTCGCCCATTACTTCACAGCCTCAGTTAAAAAAAACACTGAAAAAGTTCAAGAAATGGCCTGGGATAAAATGTTCTTTGATTGTCTCGGTTCTTGCAGCACTGAGAAACAAAGAGGACAAGAGAATAAACCACTAGACCTGGGACCATGATTGTTCTACAGTACACCTTCATCTTTTTTAACATACAGTACTTCTCACATTTAAATAGACAAAAGATATATCTAATACTGTATATTTACCCTTAATCATTTTAGGATAAAACAAGAGAGAGAAGCTATTGCTTCTAGTGCAACTACTGTACAACATTATCAAATATATCTTATATTACAGAGTCAGGTGATGGGAAAGAATAACTATAAAATATCTTGTGAATGACAGGAGCCTAAGAGCAATCCAAACTATCAGTTGTAGTCACAACAGCAGTGGATACATTGTGGTAAAAGGTCTTACAGGGTGAAGTCACACCTTGGACAGGCTGCCAGTCCATTGCAGGGCACACACAGACTGACATACGCCAGAGCCAATTAGCCTGCCATTATGTCTTTGGACTGTGGGAGGAAATGGGATCACCCAGAGCGCCAGAGGCAGCACTCCTGCTCCAGGACTGACTGTAGGGCCTCAGCAAGGCAAGGCAAAAATGCTAATCCCCGCGCCACTGGGCCACCTTAACACGAAGATCCTTCCATTCCATTTGTTTACAGTACACAGGCATCTACATTTTGAAAAAGGAACTTAAACAAGTAATGTACAAGAGTGCTCCGCATGAGGTCAACATCACTGAAACTGCTTGCCTGCACGCGTGCGAGAGAGAGTGCTCCACTCAGACTTGAGGCGTTTTCAATCGTACGGATGGCTCAGGTAAGCTCACGAACCCAACTTCAGCTTTCAAGAGCTGTGTAATCAAGACTGAGCACACGCTTCACAAACACAACCCTCCTGAACCACTGGCAGCGCTGCAGTAATTACCATTATTACTCATTCTGTGGAGGCGTGAGTTATATGAGAGAAGAGTGTTGATGAGCTTCTGCAATTTCAAGTGGAAGACTTTTTTTTTCCCCATGGAAAGTGTCACACTGCCTGAAAAGTACTAAGGTGTTTCCGCTGAACCATGAGTCCATGTTCAAAGCTTATTTCCACTGTACAATGCTGTATGTTGTCAATATTAAACAATAGCAAAGAATTGGAGTACGAGTATTACCTTGCTATTGGGTGTCTGAGTGGGGCTGACGTCATCTCTCAGCACCGGCAATCCATTCCTCTCAGTATCGCTACCTGCCATGAACCCACACAGAAATCTCTTTAGAGAAAGACGGGAAGAAATGAGTGGGCCACAACAACCCTTTTTTTCCTGCACAGAGAATAAAGAGATCAAGAAGGGCAAAGCAAAGAATTTCCACATAACAACACAGTTGTGACCCTTAAGTTTGAGTAGAACTCAATCCTTCCCTAGCAATTAAGTTTCCAGACAGAACAATGGCAGCAACGAAAAACCCTAGAAATTCCCATCCGTCCACAACACTCTCTTCCCAGAACACAAAGTCCGGCAATCACAGAAATTATTGTGCCGTGAAGGAGCCAACCACAACTCTGAAAAACTAATTGATGACAATCAGCAACACAGATCAGGCTATGTGGTAGGCTGCTCAGTGTGCCGCCTTGTTCAGCTGAAGCTCAACACTGTGTGATCAACGGTTTGCACTGTCAGATGTCTTATATCCATCTATGTATATATATATATCGGCTGCTTGTCTGTCATGTCTCTGGCTCTATGCGATCTTGTTAAGGCCAAACATGACGTGCCAGTCAAAGAACAGTTTTGCCGTCCCTTTGCAATTAGAAGTCCCAATAAAGTGCCGAAGCAGTCATGAAAAAGAAATCCAACTTGTGTCTTGTGTCTCCTTGAGTCTAAGGAAAGATGAAATAGGATTTAATTTCTTGCTATATAACCATCCAGGGTGGATTTACAATAGAGACGACTGCAAATTCTCTAACTAAAGCAGCTTCTTAGTAACAATATATCTAAAATGAATATTAGCTGATATAACAATTAGCTAAAAGGCATAGCGGGGCACTGATTTATGAGCACTTTCCCGGCACACTTCTTCAACCTTCGCCTCAGTGAGGTTTACTTGAGACTTCCTTCATACCAGAAGATAATTCTTCTACGGAAATGAGCAGGGCAGAGGTTCCGAAGGGAGCGACTGGCTTCAGGCTGGGCTACTGCATGTCAGTGGCTGACTGGCCTTCCCAAGTAGAAGCAGATAACTGACGGGGGTTTCAGGCATCTTATTTCTGGGGTTGGGTGGATTACAGTAAGTCGGCCAAGAACGCCTTACAGTATATCAGTGTTAAATCACTGTGTTTTGGGAACAGAAATATTATTTATTTGTTCTGAAAACTTTGTTGGTTTTCTAGAAAATCGTAAGAGGGGACAGAACTGGACATGAAAGTGAAGGGCCTTGTTTTGTTTGAATGCAGTCTTGCCGTTAATAATACTGAATAAACAATATTGTAATTTTCCAAAAGGATCACAAATGAAGAGATTTTAGTTAATAGCTTTTTTAATAGATTTCACTCGTATAGAGCTTTTCATCCCAAACACCAAAGGACAGCAAAGCACTTTACATATACTGTAGCAGGGAGCATTTCAGGCATGCATGTACCAGCACCTACTTTACACAGCAAAGCAAGTGGAGAAGTGAGAAATTAACAATTAAAATTTAAAGATGCCAGACTGTGCAAGCCCATGCTTGAATTTACTACCCTTCTGTATGAAAATGTGAGATGGGATTATAATGACCCAGTTGTCAGGACTTTTTTAAAGTCTCATTTAAAGGGCAGAGCCTACTACAGCACAGTGGTTTAGAAGTTCTGATGCCACCTATTGATACACTAATACCACTTCCAATAACAGCCTGGTTTCTCTCAGAGGTCAGGAGTGACCAGGCCCAGCCTTGCTTAATCCTGACAAGATAGGGATACAAGATGCTATTGCTTGCAGTCAGGACATGAAGCCAGTGCATGATCATGATGGTTAAAGAGGAACTGCAAGCCTATTTTTAATATTTCAGGGTTAGAAAGAATCGGCATTGATGGGTGAATTTCAAACGGCAACAACTCAACAATGTGGGAGACTATACAGTATTCTCACAAAGTTCCTGTTGTGCTTAATTCAGAATTTGTAAAATTTGGGATACTGCCAATTAATTTATTTAGTTTCTGAAACTTACAGTAATGTCAGTTCCCCTTGATGATTTTTGCTCGGGAATAAAATAGGTATCCGGTTACCTGTTAAAATTTAAACGGTTTAAATACTCACAGTAAAATATAATAGTCATCACAGTAAACCTTATAGCACGTGTTAGGGTTACAGCTGGGAGTATGGTTACTATCGGGAATGGGGTTTATTTGTGTTACACATGAAATAAAGTTATAAGCAAATCACATGTCCTGTACATTTAAGGTGTATCAGGAAAGAATAACAATTTTAAAGAAACATCTCTCATAGATCAATACACAGCTTGTATAGGAAGCTTGACAAGACACCTGGGCTGAGAGGGTAGATGTCATTGTCTCCTCCGAACGAGAGGTTTCTGGTCAGCTTGCGTGGGTCGATCTTCTGTGGGGTGGTAGTAGGTGGACACAGAGAAAACCTCCTCCTGAACAAGTTCCCCTCCTTCATCGTGTCGTCTGTGGTAGTCTTCTAGAGAAGGAAAGAGAAGCCATCAAGGGGACAGCTTTCACTGCAAGCGGGCGTAACCACAAACCAATCCACACACATCCATGCAGAATTATTTCTGAATTCTATTACACTTGGTTGACCGGGATTTTTTCTACTTTAGTCTGGACAATCCGTCAATTTTCCAACCTCTTTTTCCAATTCAGGGTCTCAGGGAAGCCGGAGCCTATCCTGGTAAGCAATGGCCAGAAAGACAGGGTACCTGCTGGACAGGACACCACTCCACCACACCATGATCTTCGAACTGTGGTCCAGAGTCTTGTAAGAGCCAAGTGGAGCACCCAATGAATACCCACTCAAACAAGGGGAGAATATACACAGCACTCCAGTTCCCCCTGTGCTGTGAGGCAGCCATGCTAACTAACCACTGTGCCACCATGCTACCAAGTCTTGATGGTCTTTACTATAATATGAGTGGACTGTAGTGCTGTATGTTTGTTCTGTTCTTCTCAGTTGTCATCAAGACACTAGACACCCATTTTAAATGGAAAGCCAGGTAATTATCACAAACTTGATGTAAACAGAGTAGTATCAGTAGGTTTGGCTCAGGACTGAGGACAGAAGCTGCAGTCAAAACTCTTGTGAAACAAAAGTTGTCAAGATAACAGAGATTGAATTACTGGTGCAAAGGAGATATGCCAAATGTAAGCTAGATTACACTTCTGTTCATAGCATAGTATATAGTATATATTACTATAAACCCACAGAGCAAAATGCACGAGTACTTCAAGCCTTCACTGAAAATGCCATGTACAATACTTAAAAATACAAATAAAAAATAACTAACAAAGGACAAAAGGAGTGCACATTTATTCAGTAACCCATTGTTTTATTTACAGTACAATAGTCCAAAATAGATTTAATTAGTAGAACAGAATAAATTAATAAAACTAGGTTACAAACAATCTCTAGGGAGAATATTATCCCAGCTTTTGGAACCAACTGATTTTTCAATTCACATGTACATTAAATTTTGTTTTTGATGTTTTTGTCAATGATAACACCCTTTTATTAAGACAGGAGGGCAAACACTGGTTCCCACACAGTCTTGTTAGCGTTATTGTGTTCAGCAGTCTATTTGCTACTCTTTTTTTCCCTTAAATAATGAACTACCCTGCTCAATGGGATCAGTCTGCGCACAATTAACCTTACATCACCACTGTCATGGCATTCAAAAAGATCATCAGCCTATAGTTCCATTAGGCATGAAAGAAAGGAGCCATTCAAAAAACAAGAGAAAGCTGCCTTCACTCCCACTGCATTTTCACTAGGCATGCAGTGTGTCATCATGAGCTAACAATTCATTACCAGCCCCTGCCCACCTCCTTCTGCTGCCTGTCTCACATTCAACACTTCGGTACAAAAACAAGAGCTAAAATTAGTCACAAGAGTTCAGCAAAGATCCACGCCTGATGAACAGTGAAAGCAACTTCTAGGATAAGGAACAGCAAGCCAGTCCATTCCAAGGGCTTCAGTAAAGCAGCAGCCCCAGCATGTTAGGATTAAGACTCAGGGCTCTTTCGGGTCAGGAGCTTTGACCTGTTATTGAAGATAAAGGAAACTAATGCAATGCAAATTCTTAAGGTTGAACTGAGACTCAAATATGCCCTTTTCTGCCTCTACAAGAGAGCCTCTCCTTAACTCCATGTGAGATGGGATTATTCTTTCTGCAATGCAGGGAAACAAATATTTATTAATGACTAAATTAAATAACTTGCAGCATAGAATACATGTTTATGTTTAACTACATAAGTCTTAGGCTCTTGTGCAAACTGTACAGATGAAGTAGAAATCAATATTGAATATGTTTAATATCAGCTTAAATGTTTAGATAAATTGTTTATCCATTTTAGTTTGGCATGTATTAATGGCATTTTGTTTACTATTACTTAGATCTCCACTGTAAGGCCAGAAGATTCTGATCAAAATGCCTTATGCAATACATACCATCAATTCCATCTACCCTATTGCAAATTAATTTAAAATAATCTGTCATTGACAAATAGGCTGCAGTTTTGCTAAGATGTTCTTCGAAAACTGTGAAGTCTAAAAACAAACCTCTCTAATACTCAAAGAGGTTTCAAGAGCAGCTTTTCCTGGGGCGCCCGAAGTTTAAAAATACAGACTGGATTTATATGCATTCACCACATAGCAAGCATTCTGCCTTCAAACCCAAAGCAATTTAGCAGGATGTCTGCCATTGTCTATTTTTATGAGGGCTTTTTTAAATGACATGATTAGAGCTACGGATCATTTTTCATACATACCTTAGATCTCCACTGTAAGACCAGAAATCTCAGGACATACAAAAAAACTTATCAAATGCCCTGCACAATAAATTCTACCAACTCCATTTGCACTACTTCCAGATTAATCTGCAATAAGATCTAAACTAGGAGCAACACAAATAGTTGCATGTCAGCCGGTGTCTATTTGTACAAGGCTTTTAAGATGACATGGTTAAAGCTTAGGATCATTTATCTGCCATGGAAGTTGTATCCCATTTCCCTATTGGTGAAATCTATTATAGACAGATGCGCTATTTTAAGAAGGAGAAACATCATGTGGCCAGTAGGGATATTCAGGTCACATTGTGAAATACAAATGTCTGTGAGCCATGTTCTAACTCCCTCAGTTTTAAAAAAGCTGCTTGTAAATAGCTTTTTCTCCTTTTCTGCCTATTCTTTCTCATTAGAAAACTGTATGCTGCCCCACGTTATTTATGGGTCTGGTAAAAAATGGAAAAGGGGTATGGTTTGGAGAGTCTCTTTTCGATGGTTATGTTCTCAAAGCAGACTTCAACTGGCCATCTTTTGAAGTACTACTGTCAAAATGAGGATAGTTGCATTTCGCAGGCAAAAAAACTCTGCATTAAGGTCTGCACCAAGTAAATACTATTACAGGCAGATGTCATTAGTCATAAATCATAGGCACAGATTAGATATGCTGCACCAAGTTACAAATGGTCTTTGTCTTGAAACAATAATTCTATTTGCTCTACAAGATGTTGACAGTGACATTTTTATTGCTGCAGATGTATTTCTTATGAATGGGCATCTCGTGTTCACATCTGCCTTAGACAATACATCTAATGCTCATGCTTCTTTCCTTTAAACAGTTCTTTTATTTCTAGGTCTATTGACAATTTTCTAGTTTATCCTGGAATATATTTTAGAGATGACCAGATCCCTAACAAAGCAAAGAACCAGTATCCAAGTTCAAATTCGAGGAGCTTGATTGGCGGGGCCAATGAGTAAGTGTTGCCAAAGTAATAGCAATTAACGGAACAAGATACACACGAAGTCTCATAGATCTCGCTGCATGATGATATCATAAGTCACCTATATACAGCTGAGTGTCTAATACACAGCAGTCAGCTGAGCCATACACAAGTTGCCTTGGTAACCACAAAGAAAGCACGAATACCCTGGAAAATCTCATAGTGATATTTACTTATACAGTATCATTTTTTATTGATGTACAGTATAATGCTCTCCTAAAGTATCAGGACAGCAAAGGCAGAACTGTTAGTCTTGCTCTACAGTCCAGTGATGTGCATTTTTGATGATGAAATGAATACGAATCTATGGACCAGGACTAGGTTGCAGGGGGGCTGGAACCTGTCCTGGAAAGCAGTGAGCAGAAGGACAGATACACTCCACTGCGGACAGCAAAGTTGAGCCTGATCTTGTCAGATCTCAGAAGCCGCGCAAGGCTGGGCCTGCTCAGTACTGGGAAGGGAGATCTAAGAAAAACCTGATTGCCGAGTGGCGTTTGTAGACATCTACCGTAGGTGGCGCTCTTCTCTCTGGCCCCAAACGTCCCAAACCAATATGCCCAGCATGGTGGCAATGCTGTGCAGAGCGTGAGATCAGGTGGGGAAAAATAAAAAGGAGGGAATGCATTGGCATGTGGTTTACAGTGTACTGTAAAGCTGAACTTTCGGTTGCTTTCTCTGACTGTCCTGCTTGTTGTGCATTTTCCAGTTGAATCCATGTGATTTTCTGTTGCTATGTTACAGGCTGCCAGGTCTTGTGCACTGTTTGTGTAGTGTCTGCTACTGCGCAGTGATTGTAATAAAGAGGTAGGTCAGCGTCAGTCTCAACACATCAGATCTTATAGGTCTCTTACAGGCCTCTTTGATCATCAGCGTGCAAAGACTTGGAAAACAAGAGATCTTGCCTTAATATTAAATCATTTTAGTAAGTTAACACAACTAAAGATGAAAAAAAGTAAGGAATGGCCTACTCTAATCCTTCAGAGTTACAGGGCATTAATGTTTAAAATGATCTCTTAAGTGCTCTACAGAGCAATCTACCTCCTTGGATTGTCAAAATAAAAGTGTTCCAGCTGTTCCAGCTGTGGTGACACGTGGCTCTCCAGGACTCATGCTGGCTACCCTGGTCTACGTGTTGTAAAGAAGACTGCATTTCAGACACACAGAGCAAACCTGTGTCCAATTATCTGACACCATGTAAAAAACTCAGAGAGATTTTGTATTGATATAAAAATAAAGTAACATACAGTAAGTGTTGAAAAAGTGAAAGTTTCTTTTTAGACCTGTGATGGCTCACAAAAATTTACTAATGATATTGTTGTGCCTAGCTCTATGTTCTTGTTGCTTATAAATTAGTTTTGCTGTACAGTTTTAGTCCCTCATCATATTAAACAACAGCCTCAGTGAAAAACAAGAGACAATCTTTGGTATGAATCTATGGCAGAATTCCAAATACAACTCAACATGAAATAATCTCTATTAAATATCTTGGTAAAACACAGTACCACATGTAAAACACAGCTTGAGCATTAAAAGTCATAACAGTCTAAAAAGTACAAAATTAAGATGACAAGAGTCTTCCAGGCTCAGAACCATAACAGCAAAGGAAAAGCTCTGACGAATTAGTCTGAAAAAGTTAAAGGGTTTTATAGTAGCAGCTTGATTACCGGGAAAGCTTTTTAAAGCC